CTGCCCCCTATGTATTTTCAGGTACAAACACAGTGCTGCAATGTTCAGGCTGTGGAATGATGCCAAGGAAAATCGAAGTCTAAACCAAAAAGCTGTTTTCACTAGAATTTAGAAAAATAAATACAGAAAGCTTTCTGTTGCTCTTCTTATTTCATTTTTAATAAATCTAAATTTTGGGTCAACTCAACCTGACAGTGCTTATCTACATAAAAAGGCAACAGTTGTAGGAATGAGAGCTAAGCCTTAAATCAGAGAAGGAGACTTTGATTAGTGTTTCGCTGGGAAGAAGGAAAGCTTCTAAAGCAACAGGGTTTAGAGGCCTTGCCATGTTCTCACCGAAGTGAGTCTAAATTTTATCAGTGACTTTAAAGGGGGTAGAATCGGAGTCTAAATTGGTAATTCTGCATGACTTTATAACTCTTGCTCAAATCTGGTGCTTCTCACCAGTGCTTCATTTTTTTAGGCAGAGAGCTAACTGGAGGGGTTATTTGGAGTTGCCTTAAACCTATATGCTACTAAATGATTTACTGAATATCTAGATACCTATAATCCTGGAATTAGACCTACTGGGATATAAATCCCTGAAGCTCACAAGCAGTTAAATAAGGACTAAAAGGAAAAAGAAAAAAAATAATCCTTTCCATGCTAAGGTGTATAATAGCACAAAATTGGAAAAATCCATCTTCTACACCAAATAAAGAGTGATTACAAATAAAGGCAAGAACATTATCCAAAAATATTAGGAGCTAGAGAAGTAGCATGATCAAATAGAGCAACAAACAGTTCCTGAAAGAAAGGGAATATATTCATTTATGCCTTTTAATGGGTTTGCACTGGCACTAAGTAGAATTCCCCAAAACACATTAACAAAACCTGCGGTGAGCCCTCTTCCATACCTTTATTGCAAGGCTTTCCTTCCATGACAGGGAGGAAGGTGCAAAGTTCTCATGGGGATAGCAAAACTGTGGGCCAGACTTGCTATTTGCTAAAATCTGTGAAGCTTCTGCCTTCGGTGTACCAACGTTGCTTGAGTTGGATATTAGCTGTCTACCTCCAAAACCTACTTCAGATAGTCACCAAAGGGCTTCAATGACCTGTTCGTATCCTTGCTGCTCTGCATCAGCCCTCTGGATGGGCTGATAATATAATTGTGCTGTAGCCTGGCAAACACTTGGGTGCTTGGAGGCATCGTTCCCATTTTGTTGTGCAGAGGGATAACTGACCCCGAGGGCTTTGAAGTGGGCAATAGAAATGCTTGAGAGTGGTGGAGCCGGCAAAATGTTCCCTGGAGAACCTGAGCATGAGTCCGTGCTGATGCACAAGATCCAGAGGAACGAAGAGACAAGTAAGTTGAGGCTCTGCTAATGGTCTGTGCACGGCTGCTGCTGCAGGGGGGCAAAAGCAGTTGGTTTGGGAGTGCACGTGAGTCACGGAGCATGGTGGGGTATCCCAGACAGGGCTGGTTGTATCTGCTGCTGGGTCCTGTGGGAAAAGGAGTTGTACCCTCCCATCCTGATCCCTGAAGTGTTCCTGGAAGAGCCTGCTGATGAACTGACTGCGGTGCTTCCAGCACTGGGCCTGGTCTTTCCGAAATGGATTTCACTAATATTTCATGTGCGTCAGGTGGGCTGATGAGAAAGAGCAACCTAAGAACAATTGATTCTGCCGCTACTCTGCTATACATCCTCATCGCCCTAACGCTGCAGAGCCGTGGCTGTATCCTGCAGTCCTGATGCTCACTAATTAGAAGTAATTCCCTCCATCGGGTGACTTTTGTGTGAATAATGACAAATACTGCAGGATCTGGCCCTGCACTGCTCTCGTATAAATGTGATTTTGCACAAATACATTCATTTGCAACCAGCAGATGTATTACTTTGATCATTTAACAAAACGAGCAGAGGCAGGTAATTAATTGTGGCTAGTAAGTATTTACCCTGTATTTACAAGTACGAGCGGATCATGGTTATTCTGCCTTTGGGGCTATCTTTGCATAATTTCCTTTGTTTGGTGATATAATGTGCATTTCAGACGCCAGGGAAGAGTCATATAATCCTTTTATGGTGGAACCTGTGTGTTTACTAATACGCATGTACAGTGTGTGTGAAGATATTTGCAGCTACTGTCTGCCTTCTTGCCTGTTTCTGTGTCTCGGGGAAGGGAGCAGTGGGCACCTGTCCATTCCAGGAATATCCCTTGGCTACATGCAGTGGCCTGAAGTCATGTGCTACACAAAGCACTGCAGATCTTGAGGCAATTTCTTGTGTTTTCCCCATCAAGAGATGATTTATATTAGTGAGTTGCATGGTCAGCATTTCCCTTGGTAAATCTTATTCTCCAATGTACATGGTTGAAATGGAGAAATGAGGGCGTTCACAGATCAGACTTTCCTCCTTACTGCACTGCCAGGTAGCTGTCTGGTGCCACAGCGTTATTCCTTAGGGTGGCTTTTCTGTGGGCCCATAGGGTAGTGACAAAGCCACCGCTAACTCCAGCCCTTTTGGAACTCCTCATCCTTTTGGACTCTTGGACCCAAGAGGGCCCGTAGGATGTCATTCTTGGAGATGCTTACCTGCTCCTCCAGCAGACACCATGGAGAGCAAAGGCAGATAGGAGATAAACTTCCTTTGTGTTCCACAAGGGGTCCCAGCTGGTCTTTTTCTTCCAGACATGACCCTAGGGCAGAAGGCAATGCTTTCTATTTTCTCTCATAGTGTACAAAACAAAACATTAAGAAAGCTTGAAATAGCTGTTCTTCACCATGCCTCACTTAGGTGTTTTTTCCCCCGAATGCAGGGCGGTCTAAGATTTTCTGAGCACTTTGGCTGAAGTCTGCTTAAAGGTCTTCCGCAGGGCTTTGCACTAGTGAAGGGTTTCACCTATAGTTTCTATTTCACATGTATAACAGATTTTTAAGACCAGCAGGAACCATCATCACCATTATAAAGCTCCAATAAGCCAGAGAGTTTCACTCAGTGACTCCTGCATGGAGCTTGTGGCTGAGCTATAGCGCATAGTTTAGAAATACATCCAACCTTGATTTAAAAACTCCAGGGACAGGGAATTTGCCCTGGATAGTTTACTAGCAGCCCCAGCTTGTTCTTGTAGATCCGTAATCTTGCTTATAGAATTCAGACTGTGCAGAAAGAGGAAGCAAGATGTAACAGTTGCTTCTTTTACCGCTCCCCATGCTATTTCAGTTGACACTAAGACCCACCTATACTGAGATTTATTTCTTGCAAATCAATGCACAAATATTTTCAGAATGTCAGAGAAATAGTGCATTAAAAGAAGACATCCTGATTGCTGCAGTTCCTTCTGTAAAATATTTATAGTTACGTTCCAATATGTCATACAAAAATATAATTTTTCCTGCAGTCAAAGTAAAGGCCTGACTGTGGGAAATAGTGAAGTTGAAAAAAGTGTTGTTTAACAAGGCAATACAGAACTAGAAGTTGACAGTTTGCTTTCTAAGAAGAAAATGTGCATTGCATGAGCTGAGTGGGTGTCTTGATCGACATTAGCTGTGCTGCAGCCAAACCCTGTGTGAGTGGACCTGTAAAATGCACCATGACCACAGTGAATCTGGTTCCTCTCTCAAAATCCCCCCCAGCTTGTCCTTTGGAAAATCCTTTGAGTCCATTCCTCTCATTTCTGTGTTGATGAATGTTCAAATTGAAGCCTCATGTGATGCGGGACACAGTGCAGCACGCTCAGCCCTTGCTGGCCCCTGGGCACCAGGGTTTTGGCAGGTAGGATCCTTCAGGCAACACCATGTTCTGGGCCATGGCAGAAGCATTTCCTTCGGACAGAAAGCAGATTGAGGGCTCGGTGGGCAGCGCTCTCCTGGGGCTGGGCTCTCTCCGATAGTACCGCTGCAGGCAGGACATCAGAAAGTTATGTAACATTAGACAAGTCCAGGTTAAGGTCCTGTGATAGTGAAGTAGAGTTTGCCTATAGCAGTGATCCCTTGCTTGAATCACTCTTTTTTTCCTCTCCTTAATCTGTCTTATCAAAGTTCAGAAGATAAGCCTATACTAACAAGCGTGGTGAGGAATATGTTATCAACTGGAACTTAAGTTAATATTTGCCCATTTATCTAAGGCTCTGCTTGTGGATCAGAAGAATAATTGCATCGATAGCAATTGATTAGCCATTAATATCTGTAACAACTGTTAAGCCACTGTGATCTGGTGAAAGGGCTGCCTGGTATGAAACTGGCTGAGTGCCATTTGCCTTCAGCAGGGCTGGAGGAACCTGCCTGGGAGGTGGTCGGGGACACGGCTGTGCCCTTCCGACAGGGTCTTCCTGTGGAGGCCTCCTTGCAAATGCTTTCCTAAATACTCACTTTGTCCTGAGTCACAGTGAAAACTTGAAATCATTGAAAATTTGCAATTATAGAAAAATATCTGAGAAAAATATTTCAAGCTCCAACTGTAAAGTTTTTCTTTGGTGATGTTAAGCATCTCCTTTCCTGCTTTTTTACCTCAGTTTTTGCTAAATGAAAAACCCTTGCCTTCTAGAAAATGAAACTACTTTGAATTATCTGAACTGGAAATGAATTCACATTTGTGTTATGAATAGCTTGCTGTTTTATTGGCAAGAACTAAAAGAATAAAAATTAAGATCCTTTGTAAGTTTATTCATCACACAAATATCTATTATTTCAATATTTAGCTGATACTGAGACTATAATCTTTGTGTATCTTTGATAAGGCACATTAAACAGAGTATGTAGGGCACTTGCCATTAAAATGTGGCATTTACTAATACAGTTATACTCTGTGCTTGTATTACAGTATGTCTGAGTCACCAAATGATGCTAATTAGTTTTAATGGTATGTAAATGACACCATTATGCATACATACATATGTGCACAAAGAAGACTGCCGGACAAAAAAACATATTGACCACAGCAACCTTTTAAAAGAAAGGAAAATAGTCTTCTTGTGGAAGTAAGAAATTAGATTACAAATCTCCCTTTTGCATTTAATTTCAGGATTGATGAATGCCTGTCACTGTGTAGGAACAAGATTGCAGAACTTTTGAGACCTGTTCACTGGTGGCAATAGCTGGCTTCACCATCACGGGAACCAGCAGAAGGCCCCTTGGCCCTGGTGGGACCTCCCTTCTACCCGAGCATGGGATGCACCGGGCGCCTCTTGCAGGTGGGACTTGGTCTGACCCCTCAAAGGACAATAAGCAAGAATCCTCTCAAGGCTCCCATTATTTTCATCTGCCAAAGAGAGGATGCACTCAACACAGGTGTCCACTGGCCTTTCCAGCACTAAGTGGCCGGTCTCCAGCTGGCTCGCTGGTGGGCTCCACACAAGGGGAAAGGGGAAGCGTGCCGGCCTGCACGCTTCCTTCTGCAGCTGCTCCTCATGCCACAAAGAGCCCATCTGAGATAATTCAGCATAGTTCAGATCCAACTGTTCATCTGGAGTAGTTTGACACAGGTATCTTCTGCTCTCTCCATCTTAAACAGCCTGGAAGAACTGGCTGTCATTTGCAGTAAAGTCTGAAGTCATTAGCTCCAGAGCAATCAGTCTTTTATTTCTTCCTTTAAATCTTGAAAAAAAAGAAACCCAAAACAAACAAAAAACCCCCAGCGTGCTCTAGCTTTACTTCTCAGCTTTTGTAGTTTCATTTGGTTTTTTTCCCTAACAGGGACAAGCCTTAAGCACAGGTGGCTGCTGTGGTTCTTTATTTCTGCTGATAGCTATTGACCTGCCAACTGGCTATTCTCTTGGTAATAGTAAACAGGTTCCTAATGGTCAAACTTCCTTCCATTTAAATTCTGTAGTCCCAAAATAATCTAGTATTTTATTAGCCAGGGAACATATTATTAAACACATACATCATTCTTACCAGACTGTACCTCTGTAAATGTAAGTACTTTTAAGCCAATATTTTAGGTTTTTTTTTTTTTTTTTTTTTTCCTTTTAAAAAATTTGGGATAAGACTCCAAACAATGGAAATGAAAAAGTGAATTGAGTGATTGGTATGTAAGTAGAAGGCCTGGGAGCTAGAAGCTATACACAGTTTTGACAGAGTGTTTGAAACTACATGAGGAGTATCTGACAAGTAGCAGGCTCCTTGCTGGCTATGATAGACTCAGAAGTCAATAGTTGGTTTTGCAGAATATATTTCTCTGGATTATCTTGGTTTATATGATTTATGATGCCTTGATTTTTTATTTTTTTTGTTGTTTACGTTACTTGTTTAAATTATAAAAATCCCTCATGTTCTCAGCTGTTTAAAGGAAGGAAAGATCTTCCTGGCATGAGCTGGACGATCCCTTGAGTTAACCAACTGTGGAAGAATCAGAGCTCACGAATGTTAATGTGATTTGGGCAAGACCTTTCCTGCCGTAGCCGAACCGTATGGAATTTGTATCTCAGTCAGTAGATGGGTCTTTACTCCAGGCTGTGGTAATGCTCTCGTTGACTTTCTGGATCTTTGCGAATGGGTGTCAGTGCTGGTGGAGCTGACAGACCTTGCGGGCTCGGCCAGATTACAGGCCAACAGGCTCTGGTCAAGCTCTTGCACACGCTGCTCTGCCAAAGGACTTCAGCCTTCACCTACAACACCCTTGTTTTTTCCATTACTAAGACTTTCCTAAACATAGAGAGCCAAGGAGACATGAACACAGGCGTGCAGGCCAGCACGTCCTGTGGCCAGGAAGCTTGCTCACTGGCGGCTTTGTTTCCTCATCCGCCTGAGCCACCTTGCCTCAGAGGACTGAGGTCACCTCCAGCGCTATGCGAGTGAACTGTAGCTGGCCAGCGTTCCTGGATTTCCTTTGGGTTTGTGATATTGCAGTTTGCTTTTTCTGTTGTCACGTCATTGGGATGTTGGCTGGGTGCTGTCTGGTCCTGTTGTCCTCTTGGGGAGATGCTTGTCCAAGCGCGGTGGTGGTCCCTGTCGCCTGGCTGGCCGGCAGCATGACCAGCACAGGCTTTTTCTCTTTAGTAGCTCTTAGCGACTAAGGAGTCATAGACCTCAACCAGTTTTCCCCTGAAAAACAGTGTGTTTGGAAGTCTTCTTTGTTCTCTTTTAAGAGAAGTTCTTCAAAATCAGTTATTTTTAGTCTTTCCGTTATTTATCTGTCCTCATAAAATCCACATAAAGTTAAAAACTTAGTGCTTTTTGAGTATAAAAACAAACTTTTCAGGTCCCCTGGGCCCTTGCTGTGCAGAATGAAGAAGCAGGGGGAGAGCCAGGGAGCAGGATGTGGGTTGGGGTCTCCTGCGGACCCTTGTCCCTCACAGCGCATCCCTGTGGAAGTGCTGTCCTCCTGGGGTGGGGCGGGTGCCGGGCTGGCGGCATTCCCGGTGGTGCCGGCAGGAGGCTGAGGCCCCGGGAGTCGCGACATTCCTGCTGGGGCCACTGGGAGTTGCGACATTCCTACTTCGGAGCTCAGCGGGACGTCCAGGCTTCACATCAATGGGGGCTGCCCCAACCCCTGATCTTGGCCGTGCCCCCAGCGCCGCAGGCACAGATAATTTTGGCTAACCTGGCCCTAAAGTTTGATTTAATAAATTCCTCTAGAGCAGTGCCACAAAGGTGCAGCGAAGATCCCTTGGGTGGCTGAGCCAGCTTAAATGAGCCGAGTGCCTTCTAATTAACAGGCCCACGATTCGCTTCCCGCCCTCAGCTTTGTGGGGAGCAGAGCGAGGAATTTGCTTAAAGCACTCAGATAAATCTGTTTTAAAGGAGTGCAGAAACACGATTACAGCCGCTGACCACCACCAGTGAGCACCAGGCCGTCCAGCACCGGGTCGCTCTCGCCGAACGCTTGCCAATATTTTCTCAGCAAACTCCCTATTGATTGCATAAATCCAGTCCCCTACCCAAGAGGTAGTGTTGACCTGTCACATAGTAAAGATGTGGCAAGCCCCATAATTCATTACCAGTTGGAAATAGAACATCATTGGAGAGATAAGGATAACAATGACTTTCCATCCAATGATAAATTACTCGCAGCTGCATTATTTTCCCTCACTTATATATGGCTCTCTTTATTGAATTTAGCTTGAGATAAATAAATGATCTGCCAGGAGCCTGGTTAATATTACTTCTCTGGGACCCATTTCAGGCCCAACTAGGCTTTTGCTGATAATATCTTTAAGCTTTTCAGTAGGGAGAGACATAACATTTGTTTCTGACAAGAACCCTATGTCGCCTTATCTGTTTCATTTGAGAGGCCGTCGACCTCAGCTTCTTTAGTTAAAATGAGAGCTTTACTGTAGAGGCTAAGTTCTTGAACTTGACTCTCTTCTTACAATGAGATTATATGTCCTGGTTGTAAATTTGAAGCCACACATGATATACAGTTATTCTTAGCATTTCCTGTTGATCACGGGGTGGTATTGATTGCCCTGCTTTTGAATCTTTTGCCTATTGGTTTGAAAAGAAATACTATCTTTTTCTTATTATTTTTTCTCCCTACAATCATCCACGGGATTGTCAATGCACATTTATATTTAACTCTATGCATTTGTCCTGTTTAGAAATGACAGCTTTTTATTTTTTATTTTTTTTGCATTTGCTCCTTCCACCTTCTATTTGAGGAAGAAGGCAGTTTAACAGCTAAATATCACTTGGTTAAAAAATAAAAAGCCGGGTCTGAGAATAATAGATTAACTCTTTCTGTGAATCGACATGCCAAGGAAAGACCATGAACTCCTGGAATTCTCTTTATTACCATTAATAATTTATCTCCTTTGCGGATCCTGCCGGCGGAGCGGCAGCGGGTGCGCTGCGGCGTGCCTGCCTTCAGCTGGGATTTCTGGGAAGCCCTAGAATCGGGGAAGATTGATTAAAATCAGACCGTTGCCATTTTTCAGAAAGTGGGAATTAGAGAAAATTAAACCCAAGCACTTCTGATAAATCCTCCCATAAATAAACTAGCTGCTGGTGTTAAGTGCAAGTCCGGCAACAGTTTGATTCACATTACAGGGGAAAGAAGAACAAGTTCTGTCTATTTAACCACTCCATCATCATTATTGTTATTTATACTGTAGTAATGCCTAAAGGCTCCAGCTGAGGTTGGAGCCCCCATCTGCTAAATGCATAGTCAGACTTGCCTCAAAGAGGTTGCGGTGTGGATAGATCCAACAAGAAAGCAAGGGAAAGAAGTATTGTACATTCCCCCCCTGTTCTGCTTTGCAGTTGGGAAACTGAGGCACAATGGAGGAAAGCAGCGTGCTCCAGGCTGGGAGCAAAATCGTTGGCAAAGCTGGCAATAGGAGGAGATCTCCAGGAGATCTCCTGAGCTGCTGCAGAGCGCCTTCGTGTAAGACCATTTCCTGCAGGTTTTTGGGGAGGTCACCTGTCTATTTTGCACTTTCCCAGTGGGCAAAAAGAAGATAAAATGGGAATATGGCAATAAATTTCTTTTATCTGATGTTAGAAGAATTTGCGGTTGGGAAAAAAAGGCACACCCTAAACAGCATCTTGCATAGATTGGTGTAATAGCAGATGTAATCTGCACACGTATTAATTTTAATTTGAAAAATGTCTTGTCTTGAAAAGAAATAAGGAAAATTTGCCTTTTTGTATGACAGGAATAGTTTTGGCACATACCAGTCATTTTCCCTGTCAAATCAGAAGATAAAAAATATTGCACAATGCTCCTAAAAGGTATAAAGATTAATATTTATTAAATCAGAAAAATAGGACAGTCATGTGAATCAACCTGTGTCAGCGGAAGCCATTTCCTGTTGATCTCAAGAGACTGACAGGGTCTCCTCACCAATAATTATTAGCTAAGCTCTACAAAATTAATTTTGCATACGGCCACAAACACAGCCAGCAGGGAGAAAGGGGAGGGCGGATATCAAATAAATTATTTGCTGCCAATAGCTGATAACGTGTTTTCCATTTCTGCGGTGCTGCCACCCTGTCGTTTCCCCGAGTGCCCTGCAAGCAGGGGGATGATATCCACATAAACACCCGTGAGAGCGGCTTCGTGCCGCGCTGGACCTCGCAGCCCGGCCGTGCGTGCAGCTCAGGAGCGGGGAGCAGGCCGGCGGGCCGGGGCCGCGCTGCTCCCTGCGTTTCTGACCCCAACGGCACTCGCTTGGGCACCAGGTTCCTCAGCAGCTCTGCAGGGGGATCTGTGGGGCCAGAGGGTCTAGGAATTGCTTCTTGGAGAGGTAAAGTCATCAGAATCGGGTTACTGTTGGTGCAGCAGGAAATGGAGATG